CAAAACCATTGTCCATATAACCTCTCTTTCTTCCAATTTACCAGGCAATTTCCCGACTTGCCGTATCCGCGATGGCTGGCCCGACGCCGTCGACCCCATTCCGCTTTCGCGACCTCCCCGGAGAGGTAGGACTCTTCGAATCTCCACAATATGATGCGTGCTGACTCCTATTTCCCGCAGATACGCAACAAGATCTATCGTATCGCATTATGCAGCTTCAGCCCACCACCAACTACCGTCACGATACAGCCCTCGTCCTTTCTCACCGCGACACTCGCAGAACATCAGGTCGAGACCGCGATACTGCGTGTATCTAAAGAAACATACCGCGAGGCTTATAGTGTCATGGTCAAAACCAATCGCTTCGTAAAGGTCACATCGTCGCGAGGGCTTCCCATGCGCCTTGCTATGGCAGGCCAAGCGGTCCGGATGATCGCCATCGACAGAGACATTGTTGATAGATTCAAGGGATACGTGCTTGGTGTGCACATTGGTTTCAAACAACCACAATTCGGTCGCTCCCCAGTTGAACCCGAGAGCCTACGTGAACCTGTCACCGCGATAATTCTTTACAGCGATCTGGACCGGTTTTGCAAGGCATTAAACGATGGGGACTTACATGATCCGAGGTTCAGCGAAAAGATCAAGATCTCAATCACCATGGCGCCTGTCTTAGACGTTGCGTCAAGTGACACACTATCGCCCGACCTCAACGATTTCTTCACCAAGAAGACGCAGGAAACGCTGTTCATGCCGTTCATGGCCAATTTGTTTGGATACGGGGCCGTCGAAATTAGTGGCCATGTCGACAGTGCTCTGGCAGCTACCGTTCGTCAAAGTCTTGGGCAAGACAGATGTTTCAATCCGGCGGCTGTTCTCGCTGAGTTTGCGGCCGCGAAAGATCGAGGGTCACAACAGTTCAAAGACCGCCAATTTGAGGAGGCCGTCATTGGCTGGCAGGACGCCGTTTACGATCTGGAACAGTTACGTGAGTCCAGTTCCTGGCCAAATCTGATTCGCAAGGGAGGTGATGCATTTGTTGAGGAAATCGCTCCGCTATATTTCTTGATGCAGCTCAACATCGCCCACATTCAGATCGCGAATATGCAGAAGAACGCGTTTGGCGCCGAGCTATTGGCCGATGGCGCGCTGAACTCTGCAACTCGGTCGTTGAAGCCAGGCTTCTGGAAACCTGGTTACAAGTACAGACCTTCGCTTCAGCAGTTCGCCAAGCTGCGCTATCGGTACGCAATGTTCATGAGGCTGGAAGGAAACCCACAGAATGCGAATCGCGCTTTGAGCTTCATCGATAAAGCTCTTGTGTCACAGCCGGGTGACGGTGTACTTCTGAGAGAGCGTGAGAACATTCTGGGGTGGATACAACGGCTTTGATTCCGTATCCAACGACTTCAATACGCGCTCGAACGCCTTTCATAGTCATCTACTGGCTCCTACGAAGCGATCATAGGGTATTGGCTTCCCGCACTGGTGCCTGGGAAAGCTAGGACCTGGTGGCTCGTGCTTCACAGCTCGCTACAGATCCCGAAATTGATTCTACCCGTCGTTGTTTCTACGTTGCCTCGAAAAGAACTGTTTCGCTAAAGCTCCGAGACCACTTCCGCCATCAGAAGTGGCGCGCAGTCGCTATAATGTCCAAATTCGCTCAACCCTTCCGCTTCATGGACTTACCCGGAGAACTGCGCAATCAAGTCTACACCCTGTTGCTATGTTCGTTCGGGTACCCAGTCGAGCAGACTGTCGACAACTTCCATTTGCCTATTGCATCTGATGGCCACCGCGCCGACACAGCCATCCTCTCCACCAGTCGTCGAGTCCATCTTGAAGCCTACGATGTCATGGTGAAGGTGAATCGTTTCGTCGCTGTCCGCGCATATCTGCCTTTACCATTGATGGAAATCCTACAGGAGGGTGATGTGTCGGTCATCACCCTCAATGATCTGCATATCTCTCAGTTCAAGGGCCACATGCTATCAGTAACGTTATCGACGTCAACGCCTTCGCATGAGCCGCCCATGAGCGTCATGCTCCTCGCCGGAGACTTACAACCTCTCTGTGAAAACATCAATCGAAGCGGTTTTGATACAAGTCTCACAATCGACGTGGACGTTGCGCCCCTGCTCGGCGAGCCCAATCCAGTCTACAAAGATTCCTTCGACGCCTTCGTCTCGGAAGAAATACAACTCAGCCTGCTCGCCCCATTCAAGAATTACATGCGGGGCTTCAAGAATGTCCACGTACACGGTCGCGTGTCGTCCGAGATTGCGATCGCAACGGCGGCGGACATGTGCAAGGATGAATGGTCGGATCCTGTTGAAACTTTTCACCAACTCCAAGGACTGAAAGATCACGCTGATGTGAAGTGGTACTATGACTCTCGCAGGGAAGTATTAGGGTCATGGAATGAGTGTTTGGTGGAGATCGGCCGTATCCGCGAATCTTCGTCGTGGGGCAACCTCGTCTTGTTGGGAGGAGATTCATTCGTCGATGCAATGATTGAGCTAAGGTTCTCATGCTGCCTGGGTCTCTGCTACGCTATCATAGCGATGTTCAACGACGAGATGGAGAACGGCAAACATGGAGGGCTTATGGACGCTCTCAACATGATCTTAAAGCGTACCATGACCGCCGTGGGAGAATGCATGGAGCCAAATCTTTGGCAAAAAGGTCGCGAATGGGAGCCCTCAGATGCTCGATTTGCTAAGCTACTCTACCGACAAGCGATAATGATTCTCCTAGGCGGCAATAGTCGCAACGCGGGCCTCGCACTCGAGTTCATGGAAGTCGCTCTCGAACTCTCGCCTCGCGACAGAGATATCATGAAAGTACATGACGCCATACTCAGATGGAGTGCTTCTGGCAGCCACTTCGATGCCGATGGGGATTCGATTCGCATCCATCTGTCTGAAAATGGAGACATTACAATCGATATGTAATGTAACGATTACGCTCACAACCAGTCTTTTCCCACGAGACGCGCTGGTACCTGCGTTTCTGCGTCTCAGGCAGAACTTTTAAGCAGATACATGTACGAATAAAGTGTTTGAAGTTGATCTCATATTCCCTCGTATTCGTCTACTCCATCTGTAAATTGTGTAGCTGTGCGTACTGTTCTTCATGTCTTCTCAACTCGAGGTTGCATGCAATGGCTTGTGCAATGTGGATTGATGTCACAGCAATGACGTAAAAAATGCTCGTTCATCTCTTTTTCGCCTCCGACGTGCGCCTTAGTGAGCTGCCGTTGCGTCACCGCCACGCTCGGACTCCAATGTTTGTTTATCGAGCGCTAGACCGCCTTACGCGCACGTGGGAAAGCAAACCACAGACTGCCCCCACCTTCGACCTTTGCACAACAACTCCCCACTCGATTCCAACTCAATCGTCGCGAAGATGACTGCCACAGTCGACGCTAACATGGCTACCGCCGATACCGATACGCCCTTTCGCTTCATGGACCTTCCCGGAGAGCTCAGAAACAAAGTGTATACTTTGCTGCTCTGCTCGTTTGGACCCGCCCCACCTCCTGCCCGCAAGATACCCGAGGATCTGTTTACCAAGAACAGCTATGAGTTCAAACTTCTCCCCGCTCAACAGTGGAACGACTCTGCCATCCTTCGTGTGAACAGCCAGGTTCATCGTGAAGCCTACGACATCATGGTAAAAACCAACAGATTCGTTCGGATCAGCTGCCCGGGTAAACGCACTTTCCACAACATCATCGCTGGCCAAAACGTCCCCGTCGTCGCAAGTGGACAACGCGCAGCGCAGTTCAATGAGTACGTCAAAGCAACAAGGTCTATCATTCTGACTGAGTTTCCTAACATCTGATGGCAGACAACTTGTCGATATCACTATGTCTGCCGCAGATGAGGAGCTCACTATGCCTTCCGCAGATGGGGGGCCCAGTTCGCACGTAGGCGCCAGTCAACCAGCAAGCGTCGTCATCCTAGGTCAGCAACTTGAGAAGTTCTGTGGCAGCTTCGAGATGGCAAAAACCATTGTACCAGGGCTCGCCAAGAATGCGACTTTCATCATAACTGTGGCTCCGATGCTCGCTTATCAAGGCCCATGGTACCAAGACGACTTGACAGACTTCTTCTCCGAGGCTACCCAGAGGATCTTGCTCTGGGAACTGACTGGCCTACGAGACTTCAAAAAAGTCGAAGTCCATGGTCATGTCTCACCTGATGTCGCAACGGAGCTGAAAAGGCTGATGATGTTGGAAAAGTGGAATGACCCACACCATATCGTCAAACTCATGAGGGAGAGCAAAGACCGCGGTGCTCAACTCTACCGCGAAGGTCGACTGATGGAGGCGTTCTCCGCTTGGGGAACAAGCATGCATGAGATCGATCGTATGCGCGAGGGCACCTCCTGGGCTAAGCTTATCAAGATTGGCGGTGAGCCTTGGATCGACCAGATGGCTGAGCTGCAGTGCTCACTTGGACTCAATTCGGCACTGGTCAACATCATGCAGTGGGGCCCCGACTCCAAGAACGAATCCATACCGCTGGCAATTCGGCAATCGTATAGGAACCTCACCCTATCCTGCCTTGAAACGTCTGCCAAGTGTGTTGAACCAGGACAGTGGAAAGAAGGATACACCTGGGTATGTCCTACGATGCTCCAGGCAAAGATCTTGTACCGCCGCGCTGTGTGCATTCGGATTTGGGGTGATAGATTGCAAGCTGTCTACGCTCTGGATCTTATCCGTGGAGCTATGTCACTTGTACCGAACGACCCCGTCGTCCGTAAGGAGGCGGAGGCCATCGTGATGTGGGCAGGCGGTATGTAGGAGAGCTGTGAGCATCTCCGGGTGCGTCCGACGGCATACAACACCCTGATTTTGGATGTTTGGAAGACACGCATGGAAACAGGTACCACAGTCGAGGAGGTGTGCGCTCAGAGCATGTGCAGTGGCCATAATGATTCATACTTCTTCTTGTACAATATCAAAGAATCTCCTCTCACCTCCATGCTCATTAATACATCGCGTCACCCCAGTCTTCCCTAATCATCTCACTACCCTTCTCAGCCACCATATAGATACTCGCCAAGATGTTAGCATCCGGAAGTACCGGTACAATACTGCAATCAACAACTCTCAGCCCATCAACACCATACACCCTCAGCCTACTATCCACAACACCACCATCTTCCTGCGGAAGCATCTGGTTCGTACCAGTAGCATGCCAGTTGGGAATGGTATTCGCCTTGATGTACTCGAGGATAGCTTCGTCGTCGTCATCAGCAACAGCCGGACCAGGGCTGACTTCGCCAGAATTCGGGCCGATAGTGAAGCGCGACAAGGCCGGGTGGCGAAGGATAGCGCGGAGGTACTTGAATGAAGCGATACCAATGGCGCTGTCGGTGGGGTCGGCATAGTAGTTGCTGTTGATGAGGGGGCTGTCGGACATGGAAGCACTGCGGAGGCTGACTGTGCCGCGGGAGAGCTGGACCATGCTTGATGCGGTGACTGAGATGTAGGAGTCGTTCGATAGTGGGGCCCAGTATGGTGTTGGAATCCAGGGGTACCATACGCTCTCGAATAGATACTCGATATGAGTCTGGTTTGCCAGGCCAGCATCAATGACAGCCTGAGCGCCGATGTCGCGTAATTGCTGCTCGCTGAGCTTTTGGAAGCCGTTTGTGACACCGGAAGGAGCAGTGTATTGGCCGGTGAGATTTTGGTAGAATGCCTCTTGAGCAGCGCGCAGATTCTGAGGCGTGCGAGACATGTCCGTAGTGGAAGCGTTGTCCTGCGCACGCGCCATGATACTGAAGACTGAGTGGTCGTTGAGATGAAGGCCAACATTTTCATTGACGACGACAGGCGTGATACCGACCTTCTTGAGTTCGTCGGCGGGACCGATACCTGAGACCATGAGGAGCTGAGGCGAGTGGAAGGCACCCATGCTGACGATGACTTCGTTTCGCGCTCTTGCTTGGCTTACGAAACCGGTGATTTGGTTGATGTAGCTGACGCCAATCGCGCGTGGCTTGCTCGTGGAGTTCGTCGAAGATGGCTTACTCATAACGATACCGGTGACAGGAGCGTCATGCAGCACCTTAAGATTCGTTCGGTTGCGAGCTTGCTGATAGAAGCTGTCGTAGCTGGAGCTCCTTCGCAACATGCTATCCATGGTCGTCGTTCCATGCTTGACACCTTCGCCGTTACCGAGGTTGAGATCCTCGACGACAGGGATGTCGGCCGCTTCGCTGCAAGCAACAACAAAACCTTCGGTAGATGGTGGAACGTATCCCTGGAAACCTAGCTGAAGCGGCCCATCGCCATAAGCATCTTCATCGAACGTCTTGTACTCTTGGCTGAAAGCCGAGAGCTCCGCCGTCGAGGTGGGCGCGTTCAACCTCGTACTCTTCTTGAAAAGGCGGTAGACATCGTTCCAGCTCCATCCAGGGTTACCCAACTTGGCCCAATGATCGTATACACTGGCTGAGCCTCGCGCGTAGTAGAGACCGTTTGTCGTGCTCGAGCCACCAAGAGTTCGTCCGCGGAGATACTGAAGGGTGCGGTTGTTCAGATGCTCTTGTGGTGTGGTAAGCAGACCCCAGTCAATTACGCTGCCTTTGATGAACTGGTTGCCGCCAGGCGATTCGTATGCTAGAACCTGTTCGGGACTGGGCCCAGCTTCAAGAACCAGCACGGAGAAGTGTCCAGACTCAGTAAGGCGATTAGCCAAGACGAGACCGGCCGTTCCTCCTGGTTGTTGTTAGCGGGGTTCATGAAATGATCCCACCTTGTGGACAGTATCCGCAGGTATGATCCGTTTGCCGATGATCTCACGCGGCGAACAAAGAGTTGAACGTACCACCTGCGACGATAAAGTCGTACTCTTCATTGAAGACTGGTTCTTCAGTTTGACCCCCCTGAGGAGGAAGATCTCCTGGGCCTTGACGTTTCGCGAATTGAGAGTTGTGCAAATTGTACGTTGGCCAGGCAGAGGCGATGGACGAAAACGAAAGCAAGGCATATGTAGATGCCTTGGCGGCTGTGAGGTACCGCATGTTGAGACTTCACTTGCTTTCTCTCCGATGTGATCAGAACAGACGCTTGCAACTCTTCTTGGGAAGCTCAGCCAAGAATAGATCGACAGGGCTACACGGCACTGAGATGATCAGAAGGTACAACAGATGTGATGAGAGCGAGTACATCTCTTTATATCATGTCCATTGTACTGCCACCGGAAGCTGAACCAAGGCAGAGGAAGCCAAGACCTTGGGTATAGACTTTCTGCGCCTTGGTAAAAGCCGTCTCATGCTGAAAAGAACAAGTCAAAGTAACCCAAGACTTGCTGTCAGCCACGCCGTGATTTCCGGCTGACTCCGAGAAAACCGGTGATGCTCGCCTTTCATGTCTTACAGAGTTTCTAAATAAGCTTGGAGCTGTTTACGATGAATCCTGGATCCCGGTCCAGTGCAATAGTGGTATAAGATCCGGTGGGTGGTGTAGGATCAAGGCTGCTTTGCTTACGCGAGCAGAGGACGGCAAGATGGCGAAAAAGCACGTGGAGCATGGCGATGTACTTTGCCACAGTCTTGGTACCACCAAGACTTGACAAACGAAGGCGATCTGTGGCACCGCGTGAGCATGCGTGGGCATCCTCGTAAAGTGGAAGGCTATGTCTAGCCAAGGCAGAATCGTCATTGCCGAGCCTGGGGTAACGCGAGATCACGGTCCATCGTCGATCTACGTACTCCAATGTAAGCACGCCCAGCGCGTCGGGCCGGAGCTTACAGGTGATGTCGCATCGTTGACAATGCCAATGATAGGTGCCAATGCGACGGCTCGAAGAGCGCTTTGCGGAAGTGCGGGGAAGCTAAGCCACCGTGAAAACGACCGGTGGAGGACAACACGGACTTGCTCGGTACATGTAAAAGTATCTGGCCACCCAGGAGGACCTACGCGTACGAAGAAGGGTATTTGGTATCACCAAACACGTTGCGCGCTGTCATCGGCCGGATCTGTTCTTCGTGTTGAGGTTTAGGTGCCGTTGAACCCGTATTTTGGCAGGTGCGTCTAGGTACTGGCTAGTGTAGTAGCCACTGGAGCCTCTTCTGCCGATGCAGTGGTTCTCTGGAAAGGCCATTCCATCGAGCTTGGTCAAGGAGATGACGGCATGTTTTGTTGAGGTGGGGCTGTGTCATCCAGGTATCGCCCGTTGAAAGCATACATGGATACCCAGGGAGACGCTGCTCATCGCAATATCCTTGAGGACCTTGATTTGGGTGAACTCCGATGCATGACGAAGAGCTGATACGCTCGATCTGAACAGAAGTCGCGAGATTTTGATGCGCATATGCCGGAGGCACGTGGTAACGGTGAAAGCGGAGATGGAAGGATGAAGAGGGGTGTCGCGTCGGACGCGTCCAGCTCACAAGCAAGCCACGTTGATGACATAAGCAAGCCCCACATGATCTGACCGGCGCTGCGTATGTCAACGTTTGTCGCGATACCAACGAGAGTTCCATCCTGCGAGGCTTATCATATTGCAGTTATCACCATCGTCCACTCATTGATATCCAAACCTTCTTGTAGCCATAGGAGCATTCTTACATTGTTAGCCTTTGGCTCCTACACTTCTCGCATCATTGCGATCGCCGGATCTAAACATCGCACCTAGTAGCACAAACTTTGAGCCATGAAGAGTGGATTTATGTGGCAAGGGACATGATGTTCAAAGGTATTGCATTCCTTCAAGGATTATAATTATACACCTGGGCATGATCTGGCTTTGACGCCTCTACCTTAGCACGCGCATCCGCACTCTTTTTGCTCTCTCTAAGCATCTTCTCCAAATACTCGAACAAGATGTTCTCCTTCCTGATTGGATCTTTGAGCGTCTTCCAGTCCTGAGTCATGGTGCGCTCTGCTTTATAAACATCCCTACGATCCTGCCATTCCAAGCGGTTCCAATCACGGAAATCGCTCTTCTCTCGACCCCGCCAGGCAATCCTTTGGTTTGCTCTATACGCATTCTCGTTTCGCGCAAAGTCTTGCTTTAGCCTCTTGAACTGGCGTTGCTGTCCTTCTCGCTCTACGCGTTTCGCCTCAGCTCCTTTGTCCTCTTCCGCGGGACGTTTGCGTTGAGGGGTCGCAGCAGCGGCGTGCGCCTTCACAAATCGGGTTAGCAGCCGCGGGCTGAGTGCAACGTCCGTGATGGACTTGCTGAGCTGTTCTCCATCATTGGAGGCTGCAAGCGCGCGGCGAAGTCGTGTTGATGATAGTGGTTCCTCTTTGTAGCCGACAAACCAGACACCGCCTGTCATACCGAAGAAGCGTGTGGGCACATAACGCAGCCATTCGGTAGATGGCCCTGTAGAGTGGTGACACATTCGTGTCTGTCCAAGACGCCAGATACCTGTGCGTAGTCGATCCTTGATCATCTGGAGCCGCTCGTCGCCTGGATCAATATTAGCTATGGTCGCGCAAGAGAAGGCATCGTACGTACGGTCGACCGGAAGGTTCGCCATTGCGCGCGGAAACAGCATTGATAACTTCTGCTCCAGCCACGTCAAGTCACCGCCAGCTCCCAACTGCTGGATTAAGAGTTCTTCGAGTGTTTCCATCCGCCAGTCGTTGTAAGCTGTCAATTTGCGTAGTCCCGTTTCCGTCTCCATGCGTAGGCTGGTGCGTTCTGGATCCCCGGTACCAACGACTATAGTAGGCCCCCAGTATCCGGGGGACCCATATTCTTGATCAGCGTGATCAGGTCCAATTAAAGTGATAAACTGTATGTTGAAGCCATCTGCTGCGGCCTCTGATATGAGTCGATCTTTGAATGCTTCAGAGCCTCGCTCACCACGTGGGTGGCACCAGTGCCAGCCACCATAGAGACCACTATTGTTAATGAGGTCGATACGCTGTTGAAGGGTAAGAACGAGGTCCTTTGAGCCCGATTTTCCGCGTCTGTACTTCGAGGCTACGGAATAGTCGTCCAAGGGGAAGATGAAGGCGGCTATCAGGTGCATACCCTCGCCACCTCGAAAGAAGGCGTGGCATAATGTTTCCTTGTGTCCTTGATGAGGCGGATTGAAGCAGCCCCGGAATGTCAAGATGTAGTTGATCCTCCCCTTGATCAAATATGGCGGTGGCATGTGAATGCTGGGCCTAAATATGGTGGCCGCGGGATCTGCTAAGGCTCGCTTGATGTACCCCTCCAAGGGAGCAGTTGAGCTCATGATTATGGGTTAGTGCTTGGATACAGCCGGTGTAGGTTGCCAGATTCTGTAGTGGGCAGTTCTTGTATCCCCTCAGGGTTGCTGTGAAGAACATTGATGGCTCCATTGAGTCTCCACCGTGGAGAGCCATGGCTTAAGAGACAACTGCGACAAGCACTTTCACTTAAAAGAATCGACACTTTCATTCCACGTAGTCCTTTGCAATCGTGGGTACGCCCTTTTTGATGGTCGAGTGAAGTCATGGCCGTCTGCCACATGGGCGCTCCTTGAACGGATAGGGCTGTTGTAGATACATGCGAGACGACGTCGCATCTTTTCATCACACCCATTGCGCAGGTGAGCACGGAAGAACTTGTACTCATAGAAGTGCCGTGTCGCCTGTTCGAAAAGCTTGGTACAAGCCATCTCAGCTCAAACACTCGAGTCTATCAGTCTCCGGTTCTCTTCGCGATGCTGTCGGCGGCTTCGTAGAATACGCGAAAGAAGCATTCGAGGTCTTTAGTTCCCATAGCTACGTCCCCGATCCCGTGATCCATGTTCTGGATCTTTGCTTCCTGGTGAAAGTCAGATTCCGCGCCGATCATAAGCCATTGTACAAGGCATGCCAGCTTTCACCAGAACGTACCGACGGCAGGTCCACGATCACCAAACGGAATGACGCGCCTCCACGAGGCAGTGGGGCTGGGCTAGCGTGAGGACCTCGGGGGCGAAACTATATCTCGATGCTGCAGTTGCCCGTGGAAAGTTTCGAACGTGCTCTTTTTAGGATGCACTGCCGACGTGAACCCGGTAGCACACGTCATCGCAAGGCCAGAATCTTTCTCTTGCGTACTGTTACTGTGATGAGCCAGTGGTACAGATCTGCGTACGTAGTAGAAGCCTCGTGAGTAGTCGTGATGAGTAAAGTAGGGGTTGGTGGTGCATTGCGACCTGCCGGAAAGGGCTGCCGAGTTTGACAAGATCTGTAAATGTGTCGTTGATCTGAGGGCACGATGCCACGAAGAGGACAACTTTTTCAGGGCTGAACGCACGAGATTCATTGAAGACGGACTCTCGATGGCGGGGAAGCCGAGGCTGGACGCTCGTGTAGCAAACCATGTTGCGCCTTCCACGAGGTTGGGAGGCGGCTCTTCCGAAATTTGCGGGGCTGCGCTAAGCTCGTCTGGACTAGCGCATTTGTTGCAAGGGGTCCGGCTTGTCGCGGAAAGGCTTCCGTGCATCATCATCGGCATCCACCAAATATCTGAACTTCGCGCTCGAGGCTGAAGTCTTTTCGCGAGCTACTTTTGTTGTGTATGTTGGGCATCGACGAGGGCACTCAAAACAATTTCGACCACAGCTCGCCACAGTCAAAGCGCGAAGTCAGCTTGCATGCCTAAGTAGGTGGCCTTGGGCTGAGGGCTGAAGGCTCATGCAAGTTCAGCACAGTGGCAAGGCCGCTCGGGCTGACACAGAGAAGCGCAGCGGCAGTAGCTCATTTGCAAGACGCAGTAGTTTGTATTATGTTGAAGCCAGCTTCATCGGCGAAGGTATTGTACAGGCAGGGTGTTTGTAGATATCCGAATTCCTATTCTTTGTTCTGCAGTGGGGTATTACAATGTCGTAAGGACAAAAAGGAAATCAGGCGGGTGTGGGTGTGGGTATGCGCAATAACAAGAACGCTATCATCATTCGACCGTATGCTCCGCTGCCAACCTCGGTAGAGTTCCTCGTGAATGGATCGTCTCGCTCAGTCCCATAGGTCTTTCGTCCAATAGCCTTCCATCGTTCTCTTCGTCGACTTTTTTGAAGCTGTCGTGGACCAGACCCCTTCGAGGGTCTTCGTGTTTGCCGCCGAGCTTGCTCTTTGAACGACCGGAGATTGGGGATGGGAATGTAGTACCGTCGCTCAGCACCATGGCGGAGGGAGGTGCAGCAGGCATCTGGCGCGGTAGGTCGAGGGAGCTACTGTCCAGAGAAACGTGGTCTTGCGTGCGTCGGACGATTGGGTTCTGTGATGTCGCGGTCGGTGCGTCGCTTTCTCCACGAGAGTGTCGTTGGCCGTTGGCGTTGTTCTTACGTCTGCGCAACCACCAGACCAGAGCGACAATTAGAAGTGCACCGACGATGCCCCCGATCGCTGCTCCAACTATGGGGCCGATCTGAGTCTTTGCCTTTGCGCCTGGCAAGACGCGACACACTTGCTTGACCTTCGCATCGGCGCCTTTGGGGTCGGCTGCTGTGACAACTGCAGGTGCGAGCTGGAAGTTTTGCGCATCGGGATCGACGATGAGGTAGTTTTGCGTGAAGAAGGGTAGGCCCAGGGTTCCGATGGTCATGGTACTAGGTCCGGTTTGGTTCGTCACGGCCATGTTGAAGACTGTCGCATTGTCCACTTCGTACAGCCCTGCAGCATTGTATGCCCGGGGCCGGCTGTAGAGCTCAGTAGCTGGAATGACGGACTTGTAAGTTGCGACAGAGGGTTTGGATGCGTCGCCGCCGGGGGTGCCCATGTCCGACAGCGTGACGGTGATGGTGCCAGCAGGAGCTGGGTCGGTAGGAAGCTCGAAGTGAAGCGAGGTTTCGTTCCAAAAGGCAGTAGTCTCCGCCGCAGCAAGGTTGTCTAACATCGCAGCTGGCAGTCTAATGTCAGATGAGAAAGGGTCTAGATGTACGACAAGAGTGTCCTTTGCGTCCGCGAAGAGCGTGGTGCTCTTACCGCCAACATCGTACGTGATGGCCGTAAGGATAGCGCAAGTTGGACAGTCGGAAAACATAGGAAAGGTAGTGGCTGCGCTCTTGAGGCGGCTTTCGTCGTAGCCACCAACGACTATCAAGCCATCTTGGGGTGCTTCTTCAGATTCTGATCCGGCCCATAGTCCATACGTTCGGGAAGAAGCTTGGCCAGCGTCCACGAGGTAGTTCAAGAAGCTCGAGTCCATTCCCAGAGGCAGAGTCGCTCGATAGCTTGGCTCGTTCTTCATGAGCGCGTCTGCGCTTGCTACAACGCGTCAGTGCTGCAAAGAACCAATTTTCTCATGGACTTACTATCAGTGGATCCGTTGGTGTACATGGGAAAGGTCGCGAACTTGTTTGCATCCGGTTTGAGACCAAAAGCCGCAGCATCGTCGAAGAAGATGTAGGAGCTCGCGTATGCTAGATCAACGGACTCTCTACTGCCAGTCCAGGTCGCGTAGTCTACCTCTTTGAACGTGGTCGAAGTTGCACTATCGTAGATGCCACCGAGCTGGCCAATGCAGCTGGTGTTCGTAGCTGCCACGCACTCTGCTGCATTGTTGATGAAGAGATTGTCGGAAAGCGTCGATGGCGTCAAGGAAAAGGGTTGCGGAGGAGTGCCGATAGCGAAGGAGATGCCTCTGGTGAGGACAGTGCCGTCAGCGGAGACAGTGTTGTTTGCCCAGGGCAGGAGCAACGGCTTGGAGCCGTTTGCGCAAGCCATCGTCCCTTGGTAACGATGGATGTCCTCCAAAAATGTAAGATCTGGTGTTGTGTATTTGTGACAGCGTCAACCTCGCACGGGTATTTTTGGCGTCAGCCATGACTGTCCCTGATATGGATTGCAGGGACGCATTAACAAGGGGATGATCTGCTAAGCTTGGGCATGGGCACCTAGGCTATGGGGATCGGGCGTTGACGACACCTGCAGACCTGAAAACTCGGGTAAGGAAAAGAACCCTATTGGATTGGTCCGTCATGAGTACTTCGGGTACATACTACCTAGAGTCTCAGAATGGTCGGTACCTGGGCGACGAGACATATGCGCTTCTCCACAGCTTCACATCGTTCTCTTACTCCATGGTACGCAACGAACTCACTCATCTCATCTTCGAAGTGGTCCGGCGACCGCCGATGCTCTGCGTAGAGTGGTGACGTCACAGCGTAGGTGCAGGCGCAGGCCTTGGTTTGTTGACATCCGCGAGTCGCCCTCATCTTAGATTCAAGGAATCTTGCTGTTCGTGTCGCAATTCTCCTGACAGGACGGGCCTTTTGCGGCGAAGGAAAATGTTAATTCGGACCGTTGACGTCGGAACGTTGTTCAGCCACGCGCTGTCCCGTCCATCGAGCCAATCAGCACTTGCCGACTCACTAGCGTCTTTCGGGGACATGTTTCGCGTATGCAAATCTCGCTCGCTTCTCTGATAACTCCGTCGATCGTGTGCCCAACCTCATAGTCGGGGTACATGCCCAAGTTCGCCTCTCCCTGTCTTTTGTGTTCGAGCCTCGATGGATTTTCGATGAGACCGGAGGTGGTGGGTACCGTGGTCGCGCATCATTTTTTGACGACGCACTGTGATTGGAAGGCAATAATTTCCAGTCCGATAAGATGAGGTCTGTCGCGTCGCGTTATACTCAACGGGCTCGTAACCTACGTTCACCGACCTTTGGCGTTACCAGAGTCCGCATCACGCATGAAGGCCTGACCTTGAGTAGGTGCATGAAGATTTTAGCAAGCTCAGTTCCCTACATGATTACTGATGTGTGTCATCAACCGCCACTCGACCTCAGCTCTCAGCCCTCACTATCCGGAAGTGCGTCTTGGGCATCTTCTCATGATGTGAAGACACTTGACTTCACGTCTCTCCTTTTCGCGTTCTCCAACTCACCCGTGACACACCTCGGCGTTGCCGATCAGCAAACGGAGGCCTGCTCGTTGTATCGCATTGGATGCAGCGTGCTGTAGTTCGTAGTCTTGTCACCAAAAGGTTGTAGCCTTTCCATTTGGTCATCTGGCCCAAATGAGAACGCAGGCCTTGATCTACCAAGGCTCGAAATCAGGCTCCAAGTACCTGACTCAGAAGATGTACCAGAACCTTCCGTATTATTGCGGCTCTTTTTGTGACCTTTGCTCCCGGGACGTCTAATGCAGGTGTATTGTTTGTAAACTGCATCTTCAGTCCACCAAGTTGATGGTATGGGACCGCATGCGCAGCCCGGACATGGTAAGTCGGGGGAGAGTCATGATGAGACGAAACTCTTGAGAGTGTCACAATGCCTCCACCGACACGGTTCGGCGTGGAGAATTTCGGTGATCAGGGGAGATGGAAACAAAGATGGGTTTCGATAGCATGACTCAGTGCTTTGGCGATACAGATAACTGGTTCGTGAAGGCGTAGGTGTCGGGTGATGTGCTTGCACAATGTAGATGGCTGCAGCGCCGAGTGCCGTTCTTATTGAGGCTGCGCTGTAGCTAATTTCTGTAGATCACTTCTTCGTCGTAAATGAGAAAGACCAATAAACATTGTAGCAATACTGATACTGACTAATTCGTGACATTGAAGGGTCTCTTCTCGGCCAGGAAGCTTGGTGACAAATCATCGATCGAAGACTAGCCGGGAGTAACGAACTCGAGATACAAGTAGAAATGAAGGACGACTGTGGAGTTGGATGAGTAAAATGCTCCACATGAAGATCCACAAAGCGACGCGACCGATCATGCCATTCACAGTCGCTGCCGAGTTGCTCCGGTTGTGTGCAGCAGTACTGTAAGCGTGAGTACCATCTTCCTGGATCATCGACACCCATCGGTACTGTGGCTGGTGTAAAGTCCGCTATAAATCTATATCCGTGTCGATAGCCGTCAGCATAAACAACTTTTTCTCTTCTGTCGTCTCTAGGGCGGCTCCCGCAATTTGTGAGTTACAGCACGTCTGCTGATACTTGGAACTCAAAACATATGTCGTGTTCGGATCGTTGAAGCTTTGTGGATGTGGACAGCGATGTGGTCCAGATCATAGAGCAGACGTCTTATGATCGCAGCCCTGGAGAGGATTCCAGCACTTCTCATAACGGGTATCCGAGAAGGCGTTGTGGGCATTGGATGTTTGGAAGAGAACACCAAGTGGATTAGTCCCGGTGAAAGCACTCTTCGACTGTAACTAGGTAGGCTCTCTACATATCGTACAGCACGATATGCTTAGCTGGAAACCATATTTGGACGAACTGAAAGGTGATGAGATGGATGGTGTTGATGAGCGTTCTGCCGCATTGTCACGGGGCGACGCGCGTCGAGTCATGGCACTGATTTCGGCCCCATTACTCCGGTTGCCACTTCTACGGACTCTTCCGCACCTGGCTGTCGACCAAGTTCCCTTGACTGAGGCAAACTCAATGTCATCGGTGTCATTTTACTGAAGAGACGCCCAGAATGCGATCTGAGGAAGTTGATGCGGCGCCGGTTAAAATGGCTAAAGTGCGATCTTGGTCATTGGGGCGGGACACGCACAAGTAAACATTCGCGCTAAAAAAGGAAACGATGCCCAGGTGGTTCGTGGCTTTACGGGTGGGCTAAATCTCCACGGCTTCTCCTGTCGTCATCGAGTTTAATGAGATCTGCCGGAGGACTGGAGTGTAAGGTTGTGGGACAGAGAATGCAATGATTGATCCGACTTGAGAGAAGGAGGATAATAATAAACAAAATGTTGGATTGACGTAGATTGAATGCGCGATATATTGATGTGCATGTTGATCGCAGTTTACGGTGTTGTGGGTCGTCAATCAACCGTGAGCGCGGACCCTGAGCGGCCAAACCCAGCAACCAGGCATCTTCCCCTCATTTCTTCCATCTCTTCCACCATCATCACCACCACCGCCGACAAGTGCATCAGACCCTCGGATGGATGGAGTGGACGCTTGAGGCTGAGGACTACTTGACATTAACCGGCCAGTCTCCATTAACGCAGCCGTATCTGCACCTGCGTTGTCGACATGAGTGGGACCTGCATCTCACGTGCCTGTCTACCCCGGATGTGCATTTCGCTTAGGCAATGGCCAGCGGCGCCCAGAACGTCTACCCCAGAAGTAGGACCAGACCCCGATGATCCCGAGGTCCAAGCCGGTTGATTTGTGGATTAGTCTGGAGAAACTCCGCAACCCGCAAAGCAGGTGGCGCCATGCAGCTAGGTCAAATGGTTTACAGCGGCGAAGGACAAGTTTGCACATGAGCCACGAGCCCGGTTAAACAAAACGACTGGGGTGAAGATGAACCGCGAGAGCGGATAGATTGATTGAGCATGCATACGCTAGACTTCTAGAATAACCGTCGAAGAATATATAGGATGACAGGCTCGCCGTGTCTTTAAGGGTATCCGTGGCAGACAACCTCGAATCAGTCAACACTACAAGTCTCATCACCATGCGTTTCTCCAGCATTGTCGCCAGCCTGGCGATTGCCAGCTCCGCTGTTGCCAGCCCGTAAGTCACCCGCGTTCTCGCCACCATTGCAGTTGGCTAACATGGAAATAGTACCTACGGCCATGGCAAGCCAAAGGAGGACAGCCTCTACAAGGCCATGAAGAAGGCAGGACGGGAATTCATCGGCACAGCCCTGACCCTCCGCAACGAGACCCGCGAAGGCGAGATCATCAAGGCCGACTTCAACTCCTTCACTCCCGAGAACGCAATGAAGTTTGAGTCTGTTCACCCAAACCAAGGCAACTACACCTTCGCGGATGCCGACCGCTATGCGGCATACGCCAAGGCGAACAAGCTTGAGGTTCACTGCCACACTTTGGTCTGGCACTCTCAGCTGCCCGCCTGGGTATCTGAGGGCGGATTCGACAACAAGACCCTCATTGGCATCATGGAGGACCACATCAAGACCGTCATGACCCGGTACAAGAGCGTTTGCACACGCTGGGACGTAGTCAACGAGGCCTTGAACGAGAACGGTACCTACCGCTCCAGCGTCTGGTACGACACCATCGGCGATGCTTTCCTCCCCATCGCTTTCCGCTTCGCCAACAAGTACCGCGGCAAGGCTGATCTCTTCTACAACGACTACAACCTCGAGTACAACGCGGAGAAGACGCAGGGTGCTCAGCGTATCGTCAAGCTCATCAAGTCCTACGGCGTCCGCATCGACGGTGTTGGCTACCAGGCCCATCTTGCCAGCGAGCCCACCCCTAGCGCTCCTGGTGCCGCTCCCGATCAAGCAACACTCGAGGCTGCCCTCCGCGCGACTGCTGACCTCGGCGTTGACGTCGTCTACACCGAAATCGATCTCCGCATGCTCACACCCGCCACTCCCGAGAAGCTCCAGGTCCAGGCCGATGCTTTCGAGCGTGTTGCCAAGTCGTGCATGAACGTCAAGCGATGCATTGGTATGACTGTCTGGGGTATCTCCGACAAGTACTCTTGGATCCCTGGTGTCTTCGAGAACGAGGGTGCTGCCCTTCTCTGGGACGACAACTACATGAAGAAGCCTGCCTACGCTGGCTTCCTCAAGGGTATCAAGGCCAAGAAGGGTCACTACTAGACGAAAAAGAGAATGACTGTATGACTTTGTACATATTGAGTAATGTATACAATGCATCAAGATCATTTACATCAAAATGAGCAACCACACAACTCTTCCGTCCAAGTGCCTTGAAGATCCCTTGTTGCATCTATGCTGGAGATCGGTGATACTGTTACAGTTTGATAACGGGCTATCAGCACGCGAGATAACCTGCGTTTACAACGAGACCTAGCGCCAATCATCACTATGCCGTATCAGCGCTGTTGAATCACCGAGCAGATGCGCTATAACATGTAGTCCCAACCCAAACCCACATTTCACACCCCCTTAGATCACGAGACTTGCTTTTGGCCTTTCACGATGGAAGATACAAGGCCTCGCAAAGAACTTCGTCGCACAGTCGCAGAACACGAGAAAACGCTAGAGAGCGGCCATCGGCGTCCTCACTTGACGACGCTCCGTATGAGCATCCAGGATCGCACTGAGCCTTGCTATAGTGGCGCATCACACTTGCATCGCCCAGCATGTGGCCATACCGTTCACACTAAGCAGGTAACATTATGCGGACGCAACTGTCCGATACCCATCACGAACTTTACACCTTTCGCGTGCACTCTATGCGAGCGTCAAAAGATGATCCAATATGGCCGGATCAGATATCGTAGTTCAAGACTGACTGAGCTAATCTTGCCGGACTTTCCGCCTTCCCATCAACCTCACGTGCCGGTGATGATGCGCGCTCGTGAGTGCGACATCGCAGTGGTAACGTCCTCGAAGCACTTCTTCGTGCCTAGCACGCCCGAAAATATTGCTGCGTACCGGGTCAACGATAACCGACGATTGGAAGGTCTTATCGAGGATGTGGTCGATGTCGCAAAAGATATGGGCTTCTCTCAGACCATCGTTAACGGCATCACGGACGGATTGACTACGTGCGTTGATCATCAGCATCTATGGGTGAATGCGACATACGAACAGCTGGGTGCCGTGGTCTTGTACCTGAGCGCCGTACAAGCGGGTATCAAACAGCCTGGTATGTTGAACCAGCTATCGATGTGCTTTGGTGCATCGATGAAGGGTATCAAGCAGCTACTCCCACCAGTGTCAAAACTGCTCATCGATACGAGCGCAAGGTATGCAATTGCCAGCTTCATGCAAACATTCGAGAAAGCATATCCTGCCTATCAAAAGCACTCAAAAGATCTTGCTAGACTACAGTTGAAGTTATGGCGTCTGGTACTGGACCGCTGCCTTTTCCCGTTTGAGGTTATCACGACGAACTGGCGACACGTCGTGACATTGTGCATCTACGCGGTGACTACAGTGAACGACGTCTTCCTGGATACTGAAGAGATTAGCGCAGCGATAGGTGCGAGTAGCCCTAGCATTGGTGGCGAGGACATGAACACGTACCTGCTCTCCTATATTGTGGACGACAAAGCTTACCAGATCAAAGCGATGGCTACTACAGCGCGGCGCCGCCGTAAGCTTCAGGCTCGCTCCAGAAGCCATGTTGCACCCGTCGCTGCTGCGCGTTCGGCTCTAGACCCGGTGATTGGTTTGAATCGCAGCTTCGAGACAATCTTGGTCGACGGGTTTCTGGGTCTTGTGCATGCTAGAACGTCACTATGAAGTCAAATGGCAAAGAGGATATGATTGAGAAGATGTCTACATTGGCGTCAAGAGATCATATTGACAAAGTCCTAGTGCAATGTAGAATCCACGGTCATTTACCTGGTGCATACCAGTGGACGTATGGTCACTGTACTTCCATCATGTGATGATGACAGCGACTGTATGACATGATGTGTAGCCACAAACTTGGCGCATCAACCAGTCATAGTGGTGGTAGCTCATGCGTAGAAAGACCGAGTGACGCTCGTGCAGATAGCAGTGCTTCGACCAGGGAACCTTCGCTCGTAGGACTGGGCAGCCTTGAACTCCGCTTTGTACTCTTGAGTCCGGACGTGGGTGCGAACTGCGACATCCATGATCTGTTGTAGCTCCGAGCTGGCTTGCGCATACTTCTCGTCGTCCAGGTCGATAAGGCCCGCTAGTGACAGGCCGCTATCCACTCGCCACTTGTGCACCGCTTCGTTGAGATGGTCTGCTACCAATCCCACCAGACCGTAACTCAGGTATGGATTGCCGGGAATCTTTGCAAGTTCCTTCAACCGGGCTTTGTTCGTGCCAACAGGCTGCACCGTCTGCACCTCTGCGAAGTACTTGTTTGCATATTTGTCCCAGTCCGAGAAGGCTTGACAGATCCCGTACTGCGCGCCGCTGATATCGATAATCCATTCTTTCTTGGTCTTGCTCGATGTAATGCGGATGACTTCATGGTAGTAGTTGGGCCAGTTGGTGTCACCGCCACCGCGATCATAGTGAACGGTGATCTTTCGGGGTATAGTGCCCAGGCTCACGGAGACTTCTTCGATCTTGACGTTCAGACCTGTGGACTTTGGGTGAGCGAAATGGTACAGAATTAATTTTGGGTAGGTATTACCTTGAAGAAGACCAGTGAGGATATCGTGCATCCAGGCCATCGGCTCATTACACACCAAAGCACAAAGCACTGCCTTCTTGGTGCGATCATTGGCCATCAGGTGGTGCGGGAAATTGATGAAATACCTTTTCTTCTTGAGTGCGTCGCTGTCGTATATTACCAAGGCGTCGTCTCGATCTTCGATCTTGATGATAGACGTGTCCCAGGTGTTCTCGCGGAAGTCGTAGTAGGCTTGCTGAATGATCTCGGCTACACGCGCGAGCTTCTTCTCCAGATGAGCGTTCTGAGCGTCCTTACAAGCCTTCTTGTGAGTGGGCCAATCTTTCACCTACATCGATGATGTACGAAGTCAGTGTATATCTCACACGCGGGTCGTACATGGGATATCTCACCTGGCAGGCCTTTCCGCAGTATTGGCGCGATGAGACATCTGAACTGCAGGCGCCGCATTTGCTGTGAGCCGGCTCGCCACAGACGGCGCACGCTGCTTGTACTTCTGGAGCCATAGTTTTCTTTGTTGTCGTAAACAGCGCAAAGGAGTTGTGGGCGCAGCAAAGTAATTAGTGAAGCCGGGCAATATTTGTTCCGATTTCACGAGTTGAGCTATGACGCTTTTGGCTTGCAGCCTAGATGAATAGATTGGATGTGTCTGCAGACTACACCAAGATTAAAACATGCAAAGTGGGTGACGCGACGTCGATGTAGGCTCTAGGGTGTTCAGCATTTTTCTAGATTGACGCGAAGGGGACCATATCGTGGCTACCAACCCCCAAGCGAAGCGATTCGAGATTGGATATGTGAAGGACGACAGCTATCGTATAATTCTGATTGAGAGATGAATTGCAACTCGCATCAATTGTTCGCCACTCGTGGCCATGCACCGTGAGCATCTCTAACTAAAGAGACTTAAACTCCCCTATCACCATATCCACGGCAGGGCCCTTGTGTTGTTGCTCGAACCTCGCCAGATCCAAAGCTAGGTTAGGGCGGTTTGCTTTCTCCTCGTCCGTCATAGCATCGCCAAGAATGCTAGCGTGATCAAAATGCCTCCTCGTCATTTCTTGCGTCAGACTCGCGGGCTCATGGATGATCTGAGACATGAGTCCACCGACGTTGTAGTTGGAGATGTACCCATGAACAGCCTGAGACAAAGCCTCAACCAACGGTTGTGTCCAGCTCGTCGAGCCTGCGATGCTCCTCTTACGAAGATTGCTCAAGTCACTTCCAGGCTGCTGCAAGAAGGTCAGTAGTGCTGTTTCCATTCGTGATGAGGCCTGGAAGCCGATGCGCTCTGTGTGCGCAAACCAGCCTGGCATAGTTGAGCAAGTCCAGATGTATTCTCTGCATTTACCGAACTCGAAGACTGCACAAAGCGCCTGCATGTGCTTGGATTCGAAGTCGGCAGCGGTAAAGAATGCTTGCGTGAGCCCGAGCTCAGCACCGGATAGGTTGATGTACCATTGCTTTTGGCTCCCATTGGCGGTAATTCGTAACAGTGAAATATTGTGCTCAGGCCAATTCTCGCTGTCTGTACCGTCATCTGCGAGGAAAAGAACGGTCCGTGATGCTGTCTTGATCTTTACCATGACTTCGTGGATGTCAACATGTTTGGCTGGTCAAATGTTAGCCTACCATTGAATCGCGCGCAGATATATGCCGGGCCACTTACTCTTGATGAGCTTTTTCAGTAATGGATGCATGTATGCTAGGGGTAGAAATCACGCATTGCAGCACAGCACCGCGTGTTTGGTGGCTGTATCAGGGAACACATTGTCAGTGAGCTTCGGAAACGGGTGGTTACTAAAGTTAACACCCTTGTAGGCGACGATCTTCTGATTGTCTAGTTCAATTTTCGTGATCAGCATCATGTTTGTAGCTTCCAGGAGTGCAAGAGAGGCTGACTGAATGACGTTGGCGACTTGCGGCAGAAAGGCTTCAAGCCGGATGTCGTGGCAGGTGTGCATGTGATTTTTCCAATCAGCCTTTTGGTGATCCTGGTTGCAGTAGTAGCGTTGTTTGCAGCCGCATATCTGTGTTGCTGGTCCGTGACAATAAGCGCAGAATGACGAAGCCATGAGCAGAGAATTGCAGAAGATTTCTTGAGATGATGTGAGAAGCCAGAAAAGGCTGCCATTCCCTAGCTAGATATACTTCCATCTTCTCGTCATGTGTTGAATTGCTAAGCAGCTGATCGCGGTCATGATCATAATGAAGACAACAAACATCGACTCACGCAAACAATGATACTACCCTCATTTCAGCACAAGTGAGATTCCGGTACATCGCATGGCGAGAGCATTGGAAACATGGCTACCGGATCCGCAGAAGCTGGCAAGGGTGTGTGGGCAGGCCATGCTAAGGGTGCCTTGCTGGTCGTCGGAGGCATGATCAGAGAGGCAGGCGAAAACAGGACGGATGAAGTGTATTGACGCGCAGATGGAGACGCGATGGAAGGGAAGACGCGACTTCCGGAAGGTTGACGGCAGCCAGGGCCCCGGGGTCCACGCTAGACCATATTCGGACTAGTCCCATGTCTCACCCGCGGAGCTTTCTCGTGACATCGGAGCAGACACCTTGTGTCTCTTAAGATAATAACGTGTAACGCAATGTTTGGGTCAATATGTCAATTCGAATTCCGCAGTTCAGTTCAATCTATGTGTAGCAGGCTCTATCACTTAAGACTGGTACATTGGCGCTCCGAGCAACAACTCATGTAGACTACCACCCCCAATCAAACGGGTATTTAGCACCTGATGTAGCTCCATCGCAGATACGCGATTAACAGGTAAAAACTCGAGACATCTCTTCAAGATATCGTTGAGCATAGGCGTGTAAGTTGCCCCAGCTGGGCTACTTTGAAACGACTGCAAGTAAAGGCTCGGCATCGTGGTCAATCTACACAGCGCAACGATAACCAATCCTACCTGAAATACATCACTTCTTTTGTTGTTCGGCGGTTCGAAGGGCGGCGGACTAAAGTCCTGTTGTTGTCGCAGCTCTATGCTTTGCCAGTCGTCATTGCGCGATATGCTCGAGCCAAAGTCTCCGAGAACCACTTTCGGCCATGAGGGTTCATGGGAAGCAGGAAGGCCGAGAAAGATGTTGCGCGGATAGATGTCTCGGTGGATTATCCAGTCGTATGTGTCGTTCAAAACCGGAGGATCGCCACGCTGCATGTGCCGGAGAGCCCGGGTCAGCGACCTGAAGACGTGCCAGATGAACCCTTCGTGGAACGGTTTGCGTTCGCTGACATGCTTTTCGAGCAACGCCCATAGATCGCCGTACGCGTACACATCCATGACAAGTGCGCCACTCCCCGTTGCTAAGTCCAGCTCATGCTCGCGGTAGGTGCAGATGTTGTAGCAGTTGGATAGACGTATGAGATGTCTTATCTCGCGGGCAGCAAAGCCCGATGCAACATCTTTGGGATCGAACTCTTTGCGCACAGCAAGCTGGCCAGTTGTTTTATGCCTGAGCAGCCAGATTGCCTTGTGGAAGTTGCCCACGACCTGTATTTGTCGTACACGGTCATATTGGTTGCGCGTCGGGACGCTGGCACGTTGTAAATCCATTCTGTCGCTGCTCTTCCGATATAGAACCGGTCTCTTCGTGCGAGATAGCTTATAAATACTGGCCTGTTGTGCTGGAGACGCGTTTGTTACCTGTTGGCGCTGCGTTGTCTTGATGCAATGGCAGCTTCCGATCGTCATACGTGCCACATCGAGTGGGCATGGCGAACGAAAGCCGATGGTGACTTTGCAGCGCTTTCGTGGCGTGGCCTTCTCTTCGTCTTCGCGTTCTCATCCGGGCGCGCTATCGCCTGAGTGGTGGTCTCTCAACGCGCTCTCACCTCCGCTCTCTCACCTCACAAGAGCCGCCACGCGACCGCAACAACGCGTCTCTCTCACCTGCTCCCAAAATCTCTGCTCTCACCTCTACCTCCACATACCCCGCAGTTATGAACCACCCCATCCCCGAATCCACCATCGAAACCACCTTTACCTGCCAACAAAAGGGTGGCGGCTAGCACACAGAAAAAACATTCAGCACTCCAGCCGGTTATCGCCGAAGTCAGAGGAAGCTTAAGGCCACGAACAAGAATCGAAGAAGAAGCCAATCAGAAAAAACATCAAAGCTAGTCGTGATAAACTGCCATTAAAGAAGCAAGTTTCGTACCTGGATAGAATACAAGGTTCCATGGTATCTTTTTGCTGGTTGAGGCTGATGGTTCGAGGCTGGAGAGAGGAGGGATATGATGTTCTTTTTGCTGATCCTTTTTGATAAGTGAAAAGTTGTAATGCGCACGGCTGGGTGCGGGCGCGCGTTTGCAAAGCAAGATAGGAAGAGGAGTGTCTGCAGGTTATTAGTACTGCAATACAGCGTAGTAGTACTGTACACTAAGTCCTCTTACATGGGTGGTAGTATCTAGAGATTAACTTTTGCTGATGATTTTCTCTTTCTGTACTGCAGGTTCTTTGCCCCCTACAGACGGACCTAATAGCGAGGGCATCCAACACGACTGGACAAGTTGCACAGTATTCGTCAAAGATCGTGAATGAAGGATTACGAGGGAGACGTCTGTCATCACGTGTCGCAAGGTATCAGAAGCCCAGGGAGTGGCATTGGTCTTGTGTTTGTATTGGCGCATTCCGCGCGCAAGGGTTTGGTAGATTCCCGCTCTCCAATGGATGCGGAGGATCAGCGAAGTTATCAATCGTGTCTCTCAGCTCTTCCTTCGACGTAAGCTATTAAGCCCGTTGACGCTGTGGATCGCAAAGCACACGGAATAGAGCGAGTGATTTTTGACAAGACTGCTGCGTCCAAAATGGCTACAGGTAAGGGTGACAAAAGTATAGGGTAAGACAGCAATTGGAAATAACGATAGAGTGACTAAGATTACATTCAAATACCGACTGCGCATGCGAATAGCATAGGAACGTTGCGAGCGACGTAGATAGAGGTAAGGTAGATGGAAGTGTGACGAACGAACGTCTGTGGTGCGCGGAATTGACTAGCCAATCAGGCTTTGCATAGCTCCGAGTGGGGCAGCCACCCCTCGAAGCCCTCATAATCTGCAGAAACGTCGCTTTTATGCAGTCTGAACCGCTCCGCATAAGTACATACTCCTCAAAGCGTAAAGGGCTGGCTGAAATGTTGTTCCCGTGCAATGCGTCAAAGTCGGGGCACTAGAAGCGCATAGCACAATGACCTCTGGATGAAATGCACAACGCGGAGAGCCGGACATGGCAAAAGCAAAACAAGAGCTTGAAGGAACGGCAAACTTGACATTGCAATGATGATTAGTGGGCCGAGGCGACGTCTTCACATGACGATCAGGCACAAGACAAGGATTCTAGCGCGCTCGCTAGCCCCTACGTCATCATTCTCCGCAACCCAGCAACATAACACGACATCTTTTCGTCCACTTGACACCATCACACAGCGATTGCAAACTCAATTCCCACCCTCTCAACTTGACTATCACCCCTCTTCACCCACCACAAACAACCTCAAATCAATCACAATGGGTTGGTTCAGCTCCGACGAGAAGTCCACCCTCGCGACTCACCCCGTCAACGTCGATGTCACCACAAAGCACGGCTCCGCCGCTGAGCAAGATCGCTTTGGCGAGCACTTCGGCGCTTCCACAGATGCCATCCGCCGCGGTGTCGACAAGGGTCTCAACAAGCTGCAACAAGCTGCCCTGGCCAAGGGCGAGGGCGCCGAGCAGGACCGCTACGGCGACCACATGAGCATCGGCGACCGTGGCTACAATGCCATGAAGTCAGCGGCCAAGTACAAGGGCGATGGCGCCGAGCAAGACCGATACAACGCACACTTCAGCCCTGCGCTGCACAGCATCGACGCCGCCAAGGCGATACAAGCTGCGGGAAGCGTGGCTGCCAACGGAGAGAAGAACGCAAAGTACTTTGGCCTTGGATACGATGGTCAGCAGAGGGCGAAGCTGATGGCCGGTAGCGGCATGGGAGCTGAGCAGGTAAGCTAAAAGCTTCAAGCTATAACCGCTGCTTTCAACACATTACTAACGCTCTCGCAGGACCGTCTCGGTCAGCATTTCCACCTCACCAGGGACGCCGTCGCCGATGCCGCACAACGGGTGAAGGATGGCGCGAAGGATGTTCTCCCCAGGAGGTAGATGCATAACTTCATGACGCGAGCATGACTATAGCGACGACCTTGGCTAAGACTGCGACGGCCGTATACGTGGACAAACTAGTCTCTGCCCACGATGTATCAATACAAAAGAATAATTCCACATCATGCTTCAATCCGTTCGATGTTGTCTTCATGCATGGAACAACAAGACTGGGGCTGTCGAGAGCAATATACTGGTGCAAGAATAGTTGTGCTCGGCTAACGCTGACAAAGGAAGCAGTCTATTTCGCACCTGTTACGCGGCCTGATACTGCAAACAGTGTACAACATCCTTTGTTGGTCACCTTGGTCATGCCACGCACAACGGCCGCATACACCCCGCCGCTGCATCGCTATGCAGACCCTGGCAACGCACCCTTGCAGTACGGCGCCACATCCCAGAGCAGCACAGGTACTACATGCTGAGCACATCACTTCGCTCATCACTTCGCTCATCAACACGATCTGGATCCCATACGCACCCCAAGATCCAGTGCTCATGTTCACGCGCCCAGTCCTATGAACCCCACATCAGCCACTTGCGGTCTGACATCAGCACAACAGCTAACGCGTTCCGTCCCGGAATAGTGCAGATGATAACTAAATTAATATCCAAATTCCGAATTTGCCTTTACTGACATGCTTGTCATCATGTCTATTGTCAGCTCTGTAGTACTAAGTTATTAACCAAGTCTCAACAGCAGATGTTTCTTACGGAAACGTAGGATTGCGCGGTGCGCGAATTAATGCGGGTGATGCAGTTGGTGCATGGACAGCTTGGAACGATGAGTAAGAATGGTAGCGGAAGTGTTAGCATCCATGTAGGCTGAGCAGAGACAGCCGGATAGCACGTCTAAGAAAAGAACGGAACGAGAACTCACCGTGTACGGATGTACGGTAGCGGTATGCAAAGAATATATAAAGTCGACATGATAACTTGTTGTTCTCTCCTTCCCACCTACAGTGTCCTCAACACACTCTTCTACATCATCCATATCCTCTATACCACACCACACTCACCAACCAACTCTACCACACCCGTTCCACCACCCTAAACATGCAACTCACCCTCCTCCTCGCCCCTCTTCTCGCGGCCTCCGCCCTCGCAGCCCCGACCGAGATCTCCACCCGCCAAACCCGCACCCTGCGCGTGCAACTCTCCAACGACGCCACCGACGCCGCTGTCCAGGCCAACATCCCCGCAAACGGCATGCGCATCTCCATCCGCGCCAATTTCGGTAATCTGGGGTCACCCATTCGCGCGAACCGCGCACTGATTGTGGGGAGCGGGAGTGGGAGTTGTAGCATCTTTAGCGATGCTGCGGCTACGAGGAGGATTGCTACTATTGTGTAAGTTTGCTTTTGCCTCTATCCCAGTTCTTAGATTAGGTCGCAGTAACAATGTTGGAATGTGGGCAAGAGCTAATTCGATGATAGGCCCGGTGGCGCTGATGCGGAGTTCGGTAACACGAACCTTGATAATGGAGTTATTATTTGCCAGTAAGCTATAATGACATCTCGGCTTGTTGGGTTGGAGGTATGGTGGACTCATTCTGGGAGAAGCGTGCTGAACAGCGATGGAACTGAGTTACGAGCTCCTGTTCACTCACGTGTCATGGCTATGTTTTTGTTGTTTTCTTCGCAGTCTTTCGTTAAATTTGTATTAGACATTTTATTACAACAAATCCGTGCACGTATACAAATGTATCCCTTCTGATAGTGTACCATACACGCTGCATCTGCTACATGTACACATGGCCGCCGTCTTGGCATAGCTTAGTGATAACACCACCGATGTGTCGTCGAGCAACCGTGACAGAAGCGGTATGTAATCTGCCAAAAGAGTCGCACCTCCATACTTCCAAGTCGATTCTTCCACGATGCGCATTCAAGCCTCTGAGGTTTACTTCCCCCACATCGACGAGAACCTCCTACTAATGCGCCGACCGAGCGACTTCTTTGGCTTCTCTTTCGCCTCTACCGCCGCAGACTCCTGGCCCTTCTTGCCGAAAGCACCAAGCAACTTCCCGAAAGATTTGCGTCGCGCATGTTTCCTCACCTGAGGACCTGCAGCAGAAGGTGGAGTAAAGACGGGCATGCTGGCACCGCGCTGCTGCCGCGATATTCGAGTCGGGAACTGGAAGTCTAGGTTCAGAACACCGGTGTTGGCTGGGAGTGGAGGGTTCAGAACATGACTGATGGTCGGGAGTGGACGACGGGTGATAGAGCCAAAAGGTGCGGGTTCTTTGATAAGATTTGCACTTGAGCACGGCTCAATGAACTTGCCGACAGAGTTCGCGGTTCGCTCATGTGTGGTCTTCAAGCCATTGCGTTTGTGCCTCTTCTCGATGTGAATTGGCTCCATGTCAGCGTCGCGGTCATCGAAGCTATTACTGCGGTGAAGGTCTGAGGCTTCCGTATTCATCGGAACGCTGCTGCAGGGTTTCGTCCAGACATCCTCCTCGCTATCGTATCCGTCATGCACCACCCAGTTTGAAGAGCTGGGAGACGGTGCAGGAGATCGAAGCGACCCGTCTTTGGCCTTTCTCAGTATCGGCTTCCGCTTAATTGTCGACGAGCTCTCCAGTGCGTTCACAGAATTGGCATCGTGCGTCAACGGGAGGAGACACGCAAGCTCATGATTAGCATTCGCATTGTATGTGCGTGGGGGAAGAGTCGCAATATCATCGTCAGAACCGGCATTGTACGTCCGCGGAAGAAGGATAGTCATCTCTGATCCAACATCCGGGTAATAGGAAACTGGTGCGAGGGTCGTAAGCCCATCATCCTGTGCCTGAGGGTGAACATCGGCAGCCCTGAGCGGACTCTTTCGTGGCTCAGGACCATGCTCGTCTAAATCAAGGAGATTCTGCAGTGAAGGATAGTCTTCTGATTCTGATTCGTAATGCATGGAGGGTGCAAAGTCTGGTCGGGAAGCAAAGCGGAGGAGTTTCTTCACAGGCTGCTCCGACGGCCATGGGGACGCCCAGTCATGGATGGCGCAGCCATCTTGAGCGCTTGCTTGGGTAAAAGCTTCCAATGGGTAGAGTTCTCGAACATCGTCGGTATCCATGTCCGAGAGCGAGAGTGCATACTCATATTGTGAGAAGGGTCTTGTGTGAGCATTGAAGCTCTCGGTGTCCTTGAACTTCTCGACCCTACGAAGCGGCAAATGTGGCTCAGCCGCTGGGGATGTTGCTCTAGCTCCCGGAGAAGATTCGGCGGAGCTAGGGGTGTATGATTGAACGGAATTTGTGCGCTCATTCTCTTTGGTTTCGTCCGCTGTCGTGCTCGGTGATAGAGTGCAATCGTGGAGCTCTTCCAACCTGCCTGACTCCATAGTGGAGGTTGTACTGCTGTAGCCTGACAGCGACTTTTGTTTCGTAGTACGCACCTCAGAAGACGTGTCGCAGCTGAACACGTCCATACCTGAGTAGTCGTCTGGGGAGGAAGTATGGTGTGGATCTGTCGGCCAGTGGCTATACTGTCCTGCTGTCGCGCGAAACGATTCCGTACCGTATGTAGCTCCCTTTAGCGGGTCACTTCGTGAGACTACCTGTGATAAGCTTGTCTTGTTTCGTCGATGGCCACGGTGGAATGGTGTACTACCCGCTGTTGAGTCCTCTGATTCTGTGAAGGGTTCATCGGTAGAGGCCTCGCTCTTGACAATGCCTTTGTTACTAGACGGGGCGAGGTTCAATGCAGCTAGTATAGCGTCCTGATCAGCTTCGTTTGCGGACACGGTCGGCGGGGGCGGCGGAAGAGCGAAGTCGTCGATCTTGCATTTGCGCTTCAGCGGGGAGCTATGAGCCGAGCGTGCACCGGGGCGATTTTGAGGCGTTGACGTCGGTGAAGAGGGCTTTGCCTGAGATGGCAGTGTGTCGCGGTCACTGTGTGCGGGAACGACTACATCAGTCAGTGGGCTAACCATGTTGATGGTATTGACCCGTGATGCGACGAGACCACGGGGGGGAAGACCGCTCGATAGTGATCGGGCACGATGTCGCAGAATCGGTGAGTGTGATACGGGGCCAGCTTTCCCACGCATTTGGTTCTTGGTGGTGGCAAACGGTGTGTCGGGCGGAGACATAGTCATAAGCTTAGTGTTGGTGGGAGTGCTTGAAGGTGAGCTGGTAGCCGGCTCATCCTTCATTCTCGGCGGTGACGCGGTGTCGTCAGATGGACCGACGATTCCTAAATCGCGATAATGTCAAATAGCAAGACCCGGCCCACGATATGCGAAGTCGAGGTGGGTGGAATAGATCTGATGAGATGCGTAAGGCGCTGTAGTCCTGGTAGATAGGCGCCGCCAGCGAAGGGGTGAGCCGCGTCAAAAGGACGAGTAGCTGCTGTCATATCGTATAAGCGTGGGAGTCACACGTGCTCAGGTGTCTGTGCGCCTTGCGCAGGTGTATATACAAGTGGTGAGTGAAATCAATCCGCAAGCACACCATCTCGGCGGTCATTCCGCGGCGGTGTCGTCTGGTGAATCAACCTCATGCTGAAGGGTTGCGCGATTAGGCTCTCATTTGGCCCCAATCAAATCTCCTTTGTTGCAAACGATTCTTGCACACCAAACCACCTCGCAACGCAACTGTAGCAATCTTTCCAATGCAACCCTTCAGGAGCCAACGACCACAATTTGCGACCTTACAACCCAAAATGCAAGCCCACGAAGATGCCTTGGCTCTGCTCACGGGTAGTCCAGCAAAGACCACCGAGACGGGGATGGAGCATCTTTTGAGTGTATACGGCGCCCAAGAGATCTGCGAGCTAGCAAACGAGACTTGCCCTACAACCCAGCGTAAAACGATACTGGATGAACTCGCGGAGATTCTACATCTGCGTGGTCGGTTGCAACAGATGGGTGCTACTTTCTCCGACAATGGAGAGCTTCTCACTTACGGCAACCCATACGCGTCCACGGAGTTCCAGACCATGCTACGTCTCGGTCCCATGTACGAAGAGCAATGGAACAGTTTTTTCATCGATAACTATGAGCCTCCCGACCATGGAGGTGCAGACAGGCAACTATGGTGTGACCTACGTACTCTAAAAAGAGTTCTCCGAAATGAGGGCATCGTGTTCGGCCGCGAGCATCAACGCTATTCGTTTGGTAACTCCAGCACGAAGCTTCGAAGACTCTGCTGTACGTATGACGAACTGCGGATTGAATGGTTGACAGTGATGCGATCGAGCCTCCCAGCACTCGGTGACAGACAACTGTACACCCTTTTGGGGGATTCGTCCGGTGATGAAGATTCGGAATCTGGCGAAGGCGCGGAGCGGAATGAAGATAGAATCGTCGTTATAGACGGCGAACAGCCATGTGATAGAGCTGGCCGGCCTCGAATGCTGCGGCACCGAAGCAGCGGCGTTCCACAAGCCCTTGGCTGGCGTTTCAGTGACGATTCCACGTCACCGCGCCACAAGAAGGACTGGTGGAGGTTCAGCGACAACCTGAAGTCTGTACCAGTATGGGGAAACGTCGAACGTGCTGACGCGGAGGAAACCCAGGTCGTACCGCAGGCTGTCTCGATGACAGTAAATCGCGACGCCGAAGAGGCCACCAACGTTCAACTTGTCTCCAAAGCAGCGGCTTCACGACCGCCAACTCCCCAACCTCTGATGCTATACAACCCATCGCCATTGCAAGTGAGTAGCACGACCTCTCAAACTGCTCGAATTCATTTACCAACATCCTCGCAGCACATGAACACCCGGCGCACGATAACTCGAGCGGAGCCCATGCCAAGCCCGAGAGAAGAGAATGTCGTCAACAACACCAACGTAAAGCCGATTTGGGCCCGAGAAGTGAGCAAACATGATGGAAAGACCAAGAAGTGGGGAAAAGTTCGCCGTTGGCTCCGACATGCATTCGGTCGCAAGTAGGCCGAGGTGATCTAGTAGAACCTTATCGTGTGCAGTAGAGAGTAGATTCAGGACAGTGCGCTTCCTTCGTAATCTAGGCCCCTGCTGTTCCTTCTTGGAATAAACCGTGTTGCGGATGATGAAGTGAATGTGAATGCTTGCGTTGCCGGCCCGGATGGTGATGCAGACTTCGTGAACTCAATGATTGTGTGTCTGCTTCCGAGTCGCGAATGGCCCAGTTGCTTCTTCACTGTGAGCTTCCATGTGAGGTATTGAATATAAAAATCTACACCAGCACACCAGCAAGACCGTAATTGTGTACATCAATCGGGAAACCTGCTTCTACTTCAACTCGCCCGCCACTTCCAGTATAGCGATCGCGTCGACATCCAAGATGAACGAAGAACGTAGACATACGAGCCGTCAGCCCAGGGATCCGTCTCGGCCATCAATGACAAAGGAAGACATTGGACAAGCCGAGCGTATGGTTGCAGACGCCGTCCAGATGGTTGACGCAGCCATGTCCAGACATGCTACCAAAGCTCTTGCAAAGGAGAAGAAGGCGTCAAGCGACGTTTGCAAATCTGCGGAGTTCAAATCTGGAGTGGCGGCTTTTCGGCGAGACATTGTAGG